AAACGTTGATTTGAAGCACTTTTTAGCCGCCCCGCGGCAATTCCATGTAACTAAAGACATTAATCAATGGTAATTTGGCAGGATTGTGGGTCCACTGCCATCCCATTGTCATTGCACTGAGTTTCAGATTCTGAAATCATCTCCACCTCAATATTGAGCTTATGGTTTATTGGGATATGCTTTCCTTTATCTCTACTTGGATCAGGCGCTTTTGGTTGGGACAAGCCATGATCTAAGCCGTTGATATTTTGACCATCCTTATCCACCTCCATTTGATAACAATCTTTGTTATAATCAGCAACAGTACTCCTAGCCACCATAGAATCTCCACCGCTTTTACCTCCAATGTCCTTACTATTATGAATCGCAACTTGCCTCCTCAAGTTCGTTGTATTATTGTTTGAGGTACCTCTGTCAACTATCTTCCCATTTATTTGATTTTCTTTTTCATGACCTGTCGTAATCCCACTTAACGTAAATCGGTTGGGGTGTTCCTGTAATTCAACTTTAGGACGGCTTCTAGGGTTTCTGTGTTTGGACCCTTGAGATGTACTAATATCAATATTAACAGGAGGGCCCACCATATTGACGTCATTTATAACAGCATCCGGATTAGTCGCTGGGATATCATGAGTAATATCATCTTCATTAGAGCCCATTAAAGCAGCGTAACAGGAATTTGATTGATTATCAATCATAACCGGCTGATTTGATTGCGGTTGATTACTCCATTGATTATTCCCTTGATTACTCCCTTGATTACTCCCTTGATTATTTCCTTGATTACTCCCTTGATTACTCCCTTGATTACGCCTTGATTCCCTTCGAACCGGTTCCTGCTTCCTGTTGTCCGCCATTGGAGTTTGAATTTTTGATCGACGTTGACGTTGCACCACCATCCAAGGACCTAATCCATTTTTCTGAAACTCAGCCTCATCTTTTTTCCCGTCTTGATTTTGCTGATTATCCTTTCCTTCTACTGGTATCTCAGGACAACAATCTTTACTATGTCCATAGCGCCCACAATGGAAACAAATAAGGCCTAAACCTTCATATTCTATCTGTTTAGTTGCTCCGTCCAACACATATTCACCCTTCAAAGGCTGAGCAAGATCCAGTTCCACGCAAATTCGAGCAAACTGTCCTCTTACATGCTCATTAGTTGTCTTATCGATCTTCAACATTTTACCTAGCCAGTTACCAATACGGCAGAAAAAGGCTTCATCATAATACTCCAGTGGGATACCCGGTAATCGCACCCAAGCTGCAATCTTCATCACACTTGCAGCATTTGGTCTAAAAGCTGGCTCCCAACGTCGGAGTGATAAATAATGGCCTAAAATAATCCAATGACCACCATTTAGAGCAAAAAGAAGATCATCTTTGTTGCTAAATTGCACCACATAGAATCCATTACCTACATCTATAACGTTAATCTTTCCAGCTCTAGCCCATAGTATTTCAATCTTCTTTTTCATGAAAGCCACTTCTGTATTCCTTCCAAGTAGTTTTACAATGAGAGCTTTTTCCCAAACCTTCAGCATTCTTGTTCTTGCTTTTCTAGTACAACCAAAATGAGTTCTACCATCTTCCTCTGTCCACATTTTAATCCCACCATAATTCACATCCTCTTCCTCCGCAGGTGCACTTTGATCAACATTTTCTTCCAAATTCCAATCCATTCATTCCCAGTCATCTGTTTCACCATTGTGTTGCATGAGCATCTCTCGCCAAGTCATCTTTTTATTACCGTCGTCAACCATCCAAGATTCATGTCTAGGAACCCTAGACTGTGATTCAGTAAACACCCTATCTCCATCTTTATTTCTCTTATTACTCCTACGTAGTAGATCTTCTTCTTCTTTTGAAGTTTGGCCTTCAGTAGCTATATTTTCCTCCATGAAAAGGAAAACCCTAGCAGAGCGTTTTTTGAAAAGGAAAACCCTATCAGAGCATTTTTTTAGAGTATGTTTGACCCTTTTCTTTTCGATAAATGATAATGTTATACAATTAATCTCCTTCGTAGTGTAAAGAATGAAGATTTTTATCACTTGCTTCAAATTACTTTGCTTAGAAATCAAATTAAAGGCCTTTTTTGGGCACAAATCACTTAGCAACTATGAGGTTAGTTACATTTTAACCAAAATACTAAGAAACATATAAAGACTTACTATTTCATTACAGTTATTTGCGAGTGAAATGGCATAATAATATACCCTTAAGGCAACATGCTAGTGGTGTTCCTGTAGCACGTGGGATCGAACAATACAATAAAATATGTTATAATTCAATATCCAATGGCATGGCCGCAAGGTGATATATCGTTCGGCTTTCCCCTACTGTTGAGGAACGAGCTAATAAGTGCCAACTCCTTGAAGTAAATATATGAATAAATCATTAATCTTCAGTTAAAAGAGATTAATTACATTATAATTGGATCATTCATGCAAGTGATCTTTCTTACAATTGGATCTCCAAAGACTAAAACTAGTAACAAAACGTTCTTAATTTGGTAATAAGTTTCATTTATTTATATAAATTTTAAGTTTCAAATCAACGTACATCTTGATTCTTGAGAGAGTCATTAATAATTAATTTAAGTAAATTCAGTAAAAGAAAACAAGAAGAGAAAAACAGTATTGAATGTGGGGATATATAAGCTATTGTCGATGTCGGTGGTCCTGGTATTTATATCACGTTCTTCCATCTAACAATGGCATTCATAGCCTTATTTGTATGAAGAGTTTGGTATGAAATATGAATAGCATAACTATTTTACAAACAAGGGGGCATCTTGTTTGCATGATCTGATTATTATTTTTTATTTTTATTGTGCAAAAATTTGTCTATATTAAAGATTTTTTTTGACGAAGTCCATGTGGTTAGTTATATGAATGGCAGGGGAATTTTTTACTCTCTAGTCTGAACAAGAACAACACATTAATAAGAGCCATTTCAACATCACACTAAAGCTAAGCTAGTACTTTAAAATCACTTGGTCAACTGCTAATTGTCGAATGAGGACAATTATTGCAAAAGATTCCAAAGCATCAAATCCTCAAATCTTATTAGGCCCCTTAAGTACTCACATGTTGACGATTAAATTTGGGAAAAAATTAAACAAAAAATTAGAAAAGTTTTTTATTTTATTTTAAATAATATAATTTTATGTCATTTTAAGTGAAATGATTATATTTTGATACATATTTAATTGCTTTTTATATTTTCTCCTCCACAAAATAAGAAAAGTAGAAAAAGAAAAAGTATTATGGAGGAGAGAGAATAAAAAAAATTATAAAAACACAATCATTTCACTTAAATTGACAAAAAATTATATTTTTAAAAATGATAAATATTTGTTTATAAGTATAATCAAGTAAAAATGTTTATCATTTGACTATATATTTTAGGGTTTAATGTTTCTCATTTAAAAGAATGATGCTTTTAGATGAATGTAGTGTATTTTTTAAAATTTTAAATTACAAATTTTTTCCTCCATTCTCTCTCTTTCATAATTTGTTCTTTTATTTCTCTTAAAAGGATATAAGTGTGTGTCCTTTAAAAGGACACACACTTTTCCCTATATTTTATGATTTAAATGTCCACTAGAATTAATAAACGCTAGAATTTAAATAATGGTGACATGACTATATATTTTAATATTATTGTAGTGTCTAACGTTGCATTTTCTTTGGAGTGTACATACAGAACATAAAATGGTAACAATGTAATAGGACAAACACATGAGAAGTATTGCTGCTTACACAAATTCAGCAACATGAACTAAAATGTACGAACCTTATCTCTTTTGTCACACTACTAAGTGCTTTGTTGCTTTATCAGTCTGAGCCGAACATAATTTGTCTCTGAAATGTTGTTTGTCTCTTTCTTCTGGGTTGTCTGAACTGCACAATTTTTTGTCTGACACACCCTTCAAGACTTTGTTTTATATTTCCCTTTTAAAACAACGAACTGATTTTTTGTTTGTTTTCAAAGAATGTATAAGCAAACAGGGAACAAGTCTCTGGTTGCACTGATTCTTCCTTATCTTCTCCTACCCACTCTGATCCAAAATAAAAAATAAAAAATAAAAAATCTTGGCATTGAACAAGTCCTTGTTCTTTGACTAGTCCTGCGATTTTGCAGCAAGTTTTATGGCCTGAAAACTGGTCATAGTGGGGGCACTAAGATGATACAATGGGATGGATGATAATAGAAATTAGTGTTATTATGTGGTGCCACTGCCAGTAAATAGTTACTTGGAATTTCGTCACCAGCACACAAATTAAAGACCCTTTTGTTTGCTTTTGGAATTGCTGAAGAAAGCATGTATGAAACTTGAACAGAGTCTCACTGTTCATTTAATACCCACACATGGTTTTTAGTTCCTTGATTTAGTGACAGAATCTGACACAACTATTTGTTAAAGAGACTCCCAGAAAGAGAATTTGGACTCATTACTTGCCAAGAAAATTTATTTTTATTTTTATTCCCCGTTTTCCACTAGCTTAATTTTGGACAAAATTCTTAGCAGACAAGTCTTAATCAAATTGCAAAGTTTGTTTGCAGAATAGCCCTGCTCACTCAGTGAAACATGATAATTTTGCTTTATTTTTATTTTTTATAATTAATGTCACTGGCATTTGTTAGTTGGACATAAATAGTGGAACATGGTGGAAAAAGTTGGTATGCTTTTTCCTGCAAACTATAGAAAAAGAGAGGAGTTTAGAAGTGTTGTCTTTCTTGTTGCCGTTATATGAAATAAGCCCCATGATTGCTGGCTGCAATTGAGAAACCAATTCCAACAGAACATTATGATGATTATGGGTAGAAAGTTAAGAAAGAAAGAAAGAAAGAAAGAAAGAAGGTAATTTACTGGAAAAAAAAAGAAAGACAACAGCTTTCTTTCAAACAGGAATTGCTTTTTACAGTGGCTAGGTTCAGTTCCTTATGCAAGTTATGACAAGAACTAAAATTAAAAAGAAAAAAAGATGGGGGGGAACTAAATAAGTAGAATTAACCTAAAAAGAGTAATTAACTTTTCTCCCTAACATGTCCACAAAAACAGTTCACGTGAACCGCCATGAAAAGCTACCAACCACATAATAATGTCCACCTTTAGATTCTTCAATTCTGATTGATCCATTGCTTGTGGCCTGGAACCCATTTTGGACATTTAGGACTAAAATAGCTTGACATTACCCTTGAGTTCAACAGCTCCACAACAGGTGCAAACTTCACACATCTTGGGGTTTTGTACTGGTTTATTGATGCCCCTAAGCTTATGGCATAGTCCATAAGCTTGTCAAAGGTACCCTGTTCAACAATCTTGATCTCAAGTGGCCCAATTGATTTGTCTGAGACACGGCCTTGGCGATACACACTGTTGAGTGATTCCTCAATGGCTAAGCAGCAATCCTCAAACACACAGGGAGGAATTGGGGTTGTCCCATTAAGGTTGAGTTCCCAATACAGCACATAGTGTCCTGGGATTGTTGTTGTATCTGCATAGCTAGTGTACTCAGCCACAGCTGCATCAAATGGCACCAAGTGTGTCACAGCATTCTTCATTGCATTCTGAAGCTCAACTTCATCAGTCTTGTCTGAATCTATGCTCAAGACAACATTTTTTCTACAAACGAAGTTGAATTGAGGTGCTTTGTTCTTGAATCCTGCTACCCTCAGCACATCACCAACTCTGTAACGATATAGTCCTGAAAATAAAAATAAAAATAAAAAAATTGTCAAACAAATGAATTAGCAAACCTACATATGTTTTCCAATTTTGTGTCATGCTCAAATAAAAATAACATTAACATGGATATGACATGACATGAATCTCACCGGCATAAGTTGTGACTACAAGCTCATATTCTTGGCCAAGCTTGACATCAACAAGCTCAACCAATTCTTTCTGCTCTTTCTCATTGAGAGATTTGGGTGTCTGAAGAGAATCAGTGACCCCATTGCTTCTGTTCACAGGTAAGAACTCATAGTAACACATGGTAGGGATGAGAGTGTAAGAGACCTCACTGGGTTTGCAAAGAGGATTGAGGTTGACCCCAAAGTAGCATTCACTTGAAGCATACATAGTGCACACAAGTGGTAATCCATTGCTATAGTAATCCAATGTGGGGATGTACTGTGACATTGTCCCAGTCACAATAACATCCACATACTTGGTATTGGGCCACAACCTGGTGATTATCCCCTGCCAATAACTCTTGCTACACTCAGTTTGAATAAAATCTGCAAGCTTAGGATCAGGTTTCAGGATCTTCATGACAGCATCTCTCACTGAGGTGTCAGTGATTTGGGGGTTAATGGTTCCAGTTCTAATATCATTGCAAAGAAGGGCCCAGTGTTTCTCAAGGAACCTAATTGCCCTTATGAAGCCAGAGGCAAAAACAGCCCCAACCCTTAGCACCTCTTTGTTTTGACAAAGACCACAAAGCAATTGGGAATACATGCTTTGGTAAGAATCGGGACACAGGACAGTCTCATTTGGGCTAGTATAGTTTGTGTAAGGGTCATAGGGTCTGTCTCTAAAATAGGAACTCTTGTAATAGCTGGTCAGAACTGGACGAGCCACAATCCCACCAGGTGTTTTAGCCTCAGATTTTATGAACATTAGGTACATTCCTTTCCCTTTTTCTAGGCCAGGAACAAACTGGCTCATCACAGGCATCAAAAGACTATACAGCAAACTCCTCCTCCCAAGTTCTTCTTCAATTGTTGGCATCAACTTTCTCTCACCCCCAGATGTCCCAGAGCTACAGAAAGTAACAAAAAACAACCCCATCAATATTTAGTCAAACCATATGTACAAACAAACACGAGAAAAAAAAAAAAAAAAAAAGAACCCAGATTAAAAAACTGATCTTTTTTCTCTTATATTAGAACTAAACAAGTAAAAGAAAAAACTTTGTCATTGAAAACAGATACCTAGTGAGAAACTCTGAAATGGCCTTGGAGCATAGGATTGGTGAAGTGTCACCATTGGCGATGCGGTTGATGTCAGGTTGGATATCCTCGTATGTTATTGCAGGCAAGAGTTTCTTGAAGGTGTCACGGTCTGTGTGGCCATTGAGACCATGTCTTTTCAGGTATTCAACGTTTGCATTGTTGGAGAGAATTTCTGAGAGGACCTTCTTCTGGACTTGATCAGCGTTTGCAGTGACTTCCTCTATGAACTCAAGAGTTTTCTTGTTCTGTTCAAAGAGGTTGTAGTCTCTGGGTGCCTCAGGCATGGTGACAGCTAAGCTTTGTTCTTTGAGAAAGATAAGGAAGTGTGTGTGTGTTTGTTTAGGAAGGAGAACACACACACACAACTTTGGTGTGTAAGAGAGAGAGAAAGAGAATAAGACTATGATTCTAATAGAGAAACTCGTTAGGAAGTAGGAGGGGATGTGTTGGGCGTGAAGAGAGAAAGTGGTATATATAGAGGTACACGTCAAGCTGGGATTGTATGAAACTAAGGATGTGGGAGTAATTGCCCACAACAATGGAGGGTAGAATGGGGAATTCGTATCCGTTTTGCATCACTTTTTGTTTTCCTTTTTCTATATCTAAAACATTTATATCATGCCAAAGCATACAACTTCCATGCATTTATTGTATATTGAGTCAAAGAGGACTTTGATTTAGCTTGCTACCAAAAAAATAAAAAATGAAGGAAAAAATAGATACAAGAATTAGAAAACATATAACATAATTTCAATTGGAAATGACTTGGCATATTAGTTGAACATGAGTGAATACCATCATCAACTTTCAAAGATAGATGAATTGATTGAATGAAATCCATTTACAACATAAAAAGGAATGCAAATGGAGTCACTTCCTTGTAGTTGTTATCAAAGTGCTGAATTAGTACTAGACTACTAGTCCATATCTCAAAGATAGCAAAAGATAAAAAGAAAAAAATGTGGAAAAAAGACAAACCTATACTATACCCCCATTATCCCAATGTCTTGTATTGGATTGGCCAATCCAAATTCAATTGTATCACGAAACGTGTCAAAATATCAAACTTTTTTCTTAGAAAGCAAAAAGAAATGTCAAAATTTTAACCCATTTTAAAATTCCCTTTTGTGTGTGTTAGGGGGGAGTGGCAGCAAAATGCAAATTGGCACAGGGTGTGTGCTTACGGTACACGGAAAACGGCGTGGAACCGACCTTCTCAAAGTATTGCAGAGCCAACCTGATCAAAAATAATTTTTTAAATAAATTAATAATTAACCGGCAAAATCCGGTAAACACGGTGTTTAAGTTAAGTAAACCCACGACCTGCGCGCTTGGACTACGGATGTGGATGTCGCACAAAATACAGGCAGCCACTTACTTAATTGGTTAGTTACTTGCAATAACCGGTAACAAAAAAATAACGGCGTTCCTCGAATTTCCCGCGATATTCCCGAGTCAAAATTCCGCGAGTATTTGGGTTCGGAGAGTGGGATATTGTGCGAGTGGTGTACGGTAAATAGCTGTGGGGTTTCTTGTTGCAGAGTGCAAAAGGAACTTGCCAGCTGGATGTCAAACTTGTTAGGATGACACGTGTCCTCACTTTCTTTCTTTCTTCTTTTTATTTATTTATTTATTTATTTTTGCATTTTCTTTCCTCTAATTAAAGTGTCTCTAATTTTAATATAAGAAATTATACTATTATGTTGTATAAGATGGATCTTTCATGTTGCATAAGATGGATCTCCCATGTCACTCTTCTTCCGAAAAATGTGTCTATTTCTTTTTTCTTTTTTTATTTGTCTCTTAACATCAGAAAATTTCTCTGATACTACATGAGAGAAGTAATTTCCTTTTAATATCTACTCAAAAATTTATGGCCCATATTACAAGTATCTTTGTTACAAGTAAAGTTTATTTTCATGGAATTTAAATTGTTAATTTGGTTACACATAATGATTATAAGTGTAAAACTCATTATCTTATATTATTATAAGTGCAAATGTACTTAAGCTTTAATTTCATAAAACTCCTAATAATATTTTTAAACTATTTCTGCTATATCATTAATATAAAAAAATTTATTAATAAAACAAAAGAAACGTATTATAAATACATATTTTTTTCTCATTAATATACAAGTATAAGTGTTAAAAAAAAAAAAGTGAAACAAAATGGTATGTAAAACAAAATGGTGTCTGACAATATAATAATAACTATTTTAGGGCTTATAAATCCTTCAATTTGCTTGGACTTCGGGATTTGTTTTTGTGAAATAGTATGACCTACCAGAAAAATGCCGGCAATTAGGTTGAGCTTTTCTTGAATGTGCTGTGTTCTTAGCTCCATGAATGTTTATTCAAAACAAAGTCAAAACTATTATTCATACGAAAAGTCATACAAGACTTAAATTCTCAGTCTGTATATATATATATATATATATATATATATATATATATATATATATATATATATATATATATATATATGCAATTTTACTTTAAAAAGCAACGCGTAGTGGGTAAGCCACTAAAACATTTCTTCCTTAAAAAAGAGTTCATCCTAAAATCGAAAACCACAATTTCTTGTGCTGGTCAATGTCTTTTTGCCAATTCATTAACACCCTCAACCTCCCCAAAGAAAGCAAAAGGATGAACAAACCTAACTTCAATGACCTCATAATTAAGCAACTCCGTCAATGATCGTACTCGCTTGACATTGTTCGTTGATTCAAGTTGAAGATGAAACAGTTACACGTAATCGGTGAATTCCTTTTCTAATTAAGTTAATTATAAACCTATTATGACAAATAATAATAATCTATGATTTCTCTCATTACTTGTTAGTTTCAAAGATACAAAATATGAATATAATCCTTATTTATACTTCAACCATATACAATTTGTGATCATGCAGCATAATAATATGTATGAATTAAATAAGTAAAGCTATATTTATGGCCAAGTTATTTTTATAATAATGACGTATAATATGGATGTCAAAAATTACAATGAGTCACGCGCTAACATAACAAAACTTGTGTTTACTTTTTTTGTTTTTTGGAAATGATTTGTCCTTTTACAAAATGTAACTTATGTTCTTTTAACAATTTATAACTATGTATTAAGGATAGTATATAGTTATAATATTAAAGTTGTATCTTTTTCTCTCTTCAGACACTGTTTATTGACGTGAAAAGTGAAAAAAAAATATAATTTTAATATTATAATTATGTATTACTCTTAGTACATAGTTATAAATGACTAAAAGGATATAAATTATATCATTTAAAAGGATAAATTTTTAAATTTTTTTTTTCTTTGGAAACTCAAACTTGTGTTTACATTAGTCTTAGCCATAGAAACACAAAAGCAAAAAAAATTTACACATGCACATATTTTTTTTTTTAATACAAGTAGAATTGAACACAGAACCTAACACAACCTACCAAAACCCTTTACCATTAGACCAATCTTAGTGGCTTAATATTTTTTTCTTCAATATATTAATTTGTTATCGTTCTGTACAATACAAGAGTTAAGTAATACATATATAATGTTTCATATTAAAAATTAGCAAGGAAAACTTGTGCTATTTAGATGGTAAATCATATATGGATGACATTTACCACGTACGATTAATCATATGGATTAGGTTAGTATTCAATGTACCTAAAGATAATTAATGATATTTAACTAAAGTTTTCATTTACATTAAATCAACATTTAAATACATCTATTTTATTAAGGGAAAAATGAAAAATACAAGCTGTAAATTACTTAAAGGACAAATCAAGTGTAAACCTTGTTCATCCTCCCATCATTAGGCGGTGTTTAGTATAAGATTTTTTTTTAGGATTCCCCAAAAATTGAAGTTCATAATTTTATTTACCCACATTTGAGATGAGATTTTAAAATTTTTCGAAGAATTTTATTTTTTCGGAATTTTATTTTGTGTGTAAAATTTTCTGAAAAGACCATCCAAAAATACCATCCAGAGGGTAGCATTCTAGGATTCCCATGGCAAGGGAAAATTTAACATAATCAAATATGACATCAAGAAAATTAACCCAACATTCATGGGATATTTTGGCCTATAAAATAATTTTTTAGTAACATTTCCGCAAAACTCATTTTTCCACCATATTTATGAAAATTGTGATTCCCGAATAAAAAAAATTTCCTATATCAAACGCCATTTACCGTTGTTCCAAGGATAATGATTACTAATGATATTAATTAACTCAAATCAACTTTTGTATGTATGTGGATAAATAAATGACAAAAGTATTTCTCCAGTTGTGGTAGAAATATTTTGTTTGTCACAAATACAAAACTATAAGAGAATATGATGTCGGATCCTAATAAAAAAAAAAGTGATCCTTTTTTTTGTTTGAGGCATACACTACTTTTCTGCCGTGCTACAGAAAAGTAATGCCCTAAATAAATATATAATAACCAAGAAGTTGTAGTTTTTTTTTATTAGTAACAATTCTTCTTATTCTAAAAATGACATAAATGTATATCCGCGTGATGACTCTGGCCAGTATCCGGGGTCCCAAGAAGTGAAAAAGAATCTGCATGATAATGACATACAGAAAGATATCGTATCATATAGAAGCGTATCATATCAAATCTCATCGTAAGAAACTAGAAAGAGAACAATATACACACATGTGGGCGATCGAGGATTGAGGAAGTAATAGGTGAAGCTCCATTTGTCCTAAAAATCGGTACCTAACACATCATTTGGAGTTCGATTTGGAGTTAAGAGTCAACCACATCACAGTTTATATGCTGCACGCACGCACAATGTATACCACAGGGTTGTCCTGGTATACACAACATTTTAATTTGACCATTTCTTTCTAATTCTATGTAGGACTCGAATTAACATCATGCTCTTTCAGTTTTTTCTTGCTTCAACAACCTTAATTCGCCGTTTCCTCTTAAAAATCAAGCCATAGGAAGGAGAGAAACGAAAAACAATAATCATAACTTGAGTGCAACACATGCACTCTCACAATAATTTGACCATTTCTTTGTTAGAAAAGGTCTTCCTCGTCTTCTTATACTGCACAAAACATTTCCCCCAATTTCTTGCTTTGAAAGTCGAAAAATATTCAATATATATATATATATATATATATATATATATATATATATATATATAGAGGCAGGATCCTTTGACACCGGTGTCAAATTTAAAGTTTGACACCTCATATAAGAGCCGTTAGATCAAAAAAGATCAATGACTCTGATTTGTGAACATATGACACCATTGATCT